AAGGGTAATTATTCGGAAACAGATGAAATTCACAGACCATATGCAAATACTGTCATCAAAACAATTGCAGTTAAATTACATTTCCTATTTAGAATGTTATTAAAATAATTGTTATATTATTACATTATTTTTTACTAAATTTGAATATTGTGATATTAGCAAACTAAGCCAAATAAATAAAATAAAAATAAAATAAAAACCGAAAACATACCTGGATCTACAATAATATATATAAATAATATAAGTACATTGCATCTTTTAAATTATTAAAGTCCATTAAATTGAAATGACACGTCAAACCATAAACGTCAAACTTTCAAAACAAACATGCTTGTGTTGTGTTCCAAACAGAAAATAGCATTTATAGAATAATTTATTTACTTGCAACCTTTCCCCGCACACCACCTCGCCCCTCACCCAGAAACATGGTCAAATTGGGCTAAGCCATTTTACATTCGTCTGCATAGGGAGCGATGTTGCAATTTTTCAATTTTTAGTGTCTATTCCGTCTGTTCAGATGGCAGCATCTTATGGGCCCTACATTTTTAAATCTTATCACAAGAATCCTGAAATAATTAGGCAAAAATAAAAGAATGTATGTTGCGTTTTAACTTCTAAATACTATAAAAAATGATGGAAAGTCCATAACGTTTAAATATTTGTTAAATATCACTTATTAAAATATTATGCATTAAAAGTAAAACAAACCATAGACTTTCCATCATTTTTTACAGTTTTTTGAACCCATTTATGAAAACAGTTTTTTAAAATATTATCGTTCAGAGCTGTATTTCTTGTGATAAAAAAGTCGCCGTCACTTGTCATTGAACTTGGCCTTAAGGCGTACTCGACAGTCACAACTATTCTTTGAGAAAACCCATCGTACAAACTATGGACAAAGAGCTTTCATAAATAGGCTTTTGTGGTTGTACAATAAGCACTATTCCCAATGTGATATTTTTGATTGTACGTTGTTATCTGTCAAGAGGATGCTCGAATTTTAAAATGTTAGGTTATTTTTTTTTAATTGTTTTGCGATTGTTTTGTATGTTAGACTTTTTAGACGTTAAATGTATTTTAAAATTTTTGAAATGTTTGATATTTGTATATCCAATTTGTTTGTTTTTTTGTTTTTTTTTTGTGTATATATACTTATAATAATTTAATTATTTTAGCTTTAAGACTGTGTCATTTAGAATAAGAATTCTGTAGTGCACTTAAGACAATAAATAAATAAATTACTTAGTCCAAGTAAACTGGGATTCACTATCTATATATATAAAATAGTTTGTCCTGACTGACTGACTAACTAACTAACTAACTAACTAACTGACTGACTGACTGACCTATCAACCGACAGCCAAAACTACTGATCCTAGAAATCTGAAATTTGGAACATAGGTTCATTTTATAACGTAAGCATCCGCTAAGAAAGGATTTTTGGAAATTTTAACTTTAAAGGGGGGAAATTGGAGGAAATGGGGGAGGGAGTTTTTAATGAAACTCTGTGTTCTTTAAAGTTAGAAACATGAAAATTTAAATTACAGCTACTAAGCATAAATAATTAATGACGTGTTTCAGGGTTTTTGAATTTTCACATTTTAAGGGGGGTAAATAGGGGGTGAAAGTTCGTATGAGACTATCGATTTTTTTTGTTCTCTTTGAAGTTAGAAACATGAAAATTGGAATTGCAGCTACTGACTACAAATTATTAATGACATGTTTCAAGGTTTTTAGATTTTTACATTTTAAGGGAGGGAAATGGGAGGTGAGAATTTATTTGGGAGTATCTAGGTTTTTGGTTCTCTTTAAAGTTAGAAACATGAAAATTGGAATTGCAGCTAATGAATACAAATTAATAATGACGTGTTTTAGGGTTTTAGGATTTTCACATTTTAAGGGGGCGAAACGGGGGGTGAAAGTTTATTTGGTAATATCGATTTTTTTTAAAGGTAGGAACTTGAAAATTGGAATTGTAGGTTCTTATCACAAATAAATAATGAAGTATTTCAGGGTTTTTGCATTTTAACATTTTAAGGGGGAAACTGGGGGAAGGGGTGAAAATTTGCTTAATAGTATGTTTATATTTTTTTGTTATTTAAAATTTGAAACAAAAATTTGAATTAGAGCTACAGATTAAAAATCAAAAATGATGTGTTTCATGGTTTTTGAATTTTCACATTTTAAGGGGGGAAAACGGGGGTGAAAATTAGAATAGAAGCATACATTTTTTGAACCTTGGAACTTGAAAATTATAATTGTAGCATAAATAAATAAAGATATGCTCTGTGGTTTTTAGATTTTTGTATAGTGGTATCATAAAAATAAACTAAAATTAAAAAAAAATAATTATTAAAAATTATAAAAAATTAATAAAACTTAATAAAAATTAATAAAAATTAATAAAAATTAAAAAAAATTAATAAAAATTATTAAAAATTAATAAAAATTAATAAAAATTAATAAAAATTAATAAAAATTAATAAAAATTAATAAAAATTAATAAAAATTAATAAAAATTAATAAAAATTAATAAAAATTAATAAAAATTAATAAAAATTAATAAAAATTAATAAAAATTAATAAAAATTAATAAAAATTAATAAAAATTAATAAAAATTAATAAAAATTAATAAAAATTAATAAAAATTAATAAAAATTAATAAAAATTAATAAAAATTAATAAAAATTAATAAAAATTAATAAAAATTAATAAAAATTAATAAAAATTAATAAAAATTAATAAAAATTAATAAAAATTAATAAAAATTAATAAAAATTAATAAAAATTAATAAAAATTAATAAAAATTAATAAAAATGAATAAAAATGAATAAAAATGAATAAAAGTGAATAAAAGAGAATAATAATGAATAAAAATTAATAAAAATGAATAAAAATGAATAAAAATGAATAAAAATGAATAAAAATGAATAAAAATGAATAAAAATGAATAAAAATGAATAAAAATGAATAAAAATGAATAAAAATGAATAAAAATGAATAAAAATGAATAAAAATGAATAAAAATGAATAAAAATGAATAAAAATGAATAAAAATAAATAAAAATGAATAAAAATGAATAAAAATGAATAAAAATGAATAAAAATGAATAAAAATGAATAAAAATGAATAAAAATGAATAAAAATGAATAAAAATGAATAAAAATGAATAAAAATGAATAAAAATGAATAAAAATGAATAAAAATGAATAAAAATGAATAAAAATGAATAAAAATGAATAAAAATGAATAAAAATGAATAAAAATGAATAAAAATGAATAAAAATGAATAAAAATGAATAAAAATGAATAAAAATGAATAAAAATGAATAAAAATGAATAAAAATGAATAAAAATGAATAAAAATGAATAAAAATGAATAAAAATGAATAAAAATGAATAAAAATGAATAAAAATGAATAAAAATGAATAAAAGTGAATAAAAGAGAATAATAATGAATAAAAATTAATAAAAATGAATAAAAATGAATAAAAATGAATAAAAATGAATAAAAATGAATAAAAATGAATAAAAATGAATAAAAATGAATAAAAATGAATAAAAGTGAATAAAAGAGAATAATAATGAATAAAAATTAATAAAAATGAATAAAAATAAATAAAAATGAATAAATATGAATAAAAATGACTACAATTGACTAAAAATTACTAAAAATTACTAAAAATTACTAAAAATTACTAAAAATTACTAAAAATTACTAAAAATTACTAAAAATTACTAAAAATTACTAAAAATTACTAAAATTTACTAAAAATTACTAAAAATAAGTAGAAACAAATAAAAATGAATAAATATAAAAAAAATAAATAAAAGTGAATGAAAATCAATAAAACTAATAAAAATTATTAAAAAAGGAAGTCATGTATTTTATTATATTAATAACACGAATACATGCGAGAAAAGTCGCGAGCAAAGCCGCGGGCAACAGCTAGTTAAATAATAAAATGTTGATCATTTTTACAGCATTCTTTATGAGGGTATAAATACATTTATTCCGGTCAAGAAATATAAAGCAATACATTTTCAACACTGGTTTAATTCAGAACTTAATTATTTAATTATTGAAAAAAAAAGTACATAAACTGTATAAATTTTCAGGTGACCTTAGATATTACTATCATTTTGCACATCTTCGGGAAGAATGTTCAAGGCTCAGAAATATTTGTTTTAATGATTATATCTGAAAAACTGAGAACAGTATTTTTTCAAACCCAACTTTCTTTTGGAAACATGTCAATATTAAAAAAAAAAAACTAATAAATTACCTTCATCTATGGTTTATAAAGATAACTTAGGGAATAACAACAATACTATAGTAAATATTTTCGCAGAGTATTTTTTACTTTCCTATCTGTGTACAGATATAAGGAAAGTATAGGAATCATGATTTTTAACTGTTTATTCTACTGAACAAGTTAATCTAATTCCAGAATATACATATATGTAATTGTTACACTTTTAATGTTCAGGAAATTATAGAAGCTTTTATGAAAGGCCCAGAAAAACTTTCTTATGGTCCTGATGGCATACTACTTTATGTACTAAAAAAATGCGTTTTTACTCTTGCTAAAGTTATACATAGTCTGTTCACTTTAAGTTTAAAACAGGGCATGTTTCCAGATTTTTGAAAAGAAAGTTTTCTTGCATCTATATACAAATCGGGTATGAGAAATGATATGACAAATTATCGTACTGTGTGTCTACAATCTGAAATACCAAAACATCTAGATTCCTTTGTATCTAAAAAGTTGACCTGGGACACACTACATATAATAAATTCCCAACAACATGGTTTCATATCTGGAAAATCTACTGCCTCCAATCTACTTTGTTCTGAAAATTACCTTCTGACAGCTTTTGAAAATAAACTTCGAGTTGACTCTATTGGATAACGTTACAACATTCGAGATTAAATCCGTTTTTTATTTGGCACGAGAAGAAAAATCAAATCTACAAGCAATTATTTATATTTTAGATGGCGTTTTACAAAATGATGCAACTTCAAATTATACATCTATTAAAATCAATCGACTTTGTAATGTTCCATTACCACCCTTAAACATTCAAGAAAATTTACACACAGAATATATTGAGAGCCCTTCTCCCATACCAATAAACGGAATAGAATTTCCGTTAGAGGTAAGAAAATTATTTATAAATAATTTAATAATTTTATGTTATTAATTGACATTTATCGTTAAATAATTACTTTATAATTTTTATTTAATTCATTTTGTTTAAGGACTCATATGGGTACGATTCTGATGAAGATCCTGTCTGTTCCCCTAGTAGTAGCAGTGAAGATGAAAATTTGGTTAAAGAGGTAAACAAATTATAATTTATTTTGCAAAATTTCAGTTTTTCCTTTTTTTTTAGAGCAATAAAGAATCACAAGAGCTTAAGGATGTAAAAATTGAAGTTGGTACTACTATAGAAAACTACGAGAACCACAATAAGGAAGTAACATGCAAAGATCTTAACGATATAAAAATTGAAGATGGTGGCACTATAGAAAATTACGAGAATTACAATAAGGAAGGAAGATGTAAAGAACAGGAGAACAATCAATCAACAAAATGTATTACATCTTTGACAAAACGCAAAGAAAATGAAACAGCTAAAGCAAAAAGGGCGAGAGCTAAAGATTTTTGTTATTTTTGTAAGGATCTGGTTTTAAATTTCGCCAGACATATTATAAAATCTCATTCTTACGAAGATGCTGTTCAAAAGATTCTATCAAAGCCGGTAGGGAGCAAGGAAAGAAAACATTTGATAACTAATCTTCGAAAACAAGGGAATTATCTAAATTCCAAGGTTAACTTTAAACCAATGAAAAAATCTAATGTACCGTACCCACAAGCCGGCTACGTTCCATGCGATTTTTGCTTAGGTTTATATGCACAAAAGCATTTGTGGCGTCATAAGAAAACTTGTGTTGAAAGAGTTCATATGAGTACTAATCAAATAAACCAAGTAAAAATCAAACTTAACATCGATAGAGAACTACAAGAAAAAGTTTTTCCTACAATGCGTTGTGATCAAGTTTCTTTAGTTGCTAAAAAAGATCCACTTATCTGTGCTTTTGGTGCAAGATATTTAAAAGTTCACCGAGCATCTAATTCCATAAATGTAACATCGAGAAAAATGAGAGAACTATCAAAACTTTTAATTGAAGTTAAAAAACTGGAGCCATCTGTACAAACGTTATTTCATGCTCTCAACTCAAAATTTTATGATCATTTAGTAACAGCTACTAAAATAATAGCACGATTTGATTCCAATAAAGAAGTTTTTGAAGTTCCTACTTACGCAACGAACATAAGCACTTCTCTGAGACAATGTTGCGATATAGCATTTGTTTTTGCATTAAAGAAAACAGACATTTATGCTGAGGCTGAATCTGATTTAAAAACGATGATCCAACTTTTAGAAACCAACTGGAGAAATGATGTATCTACAGAAGCATTAAACAATTTAAATAAAATTACTATTGTGCCACTGGCAACCGATTTAAAGTTGTTAAAAGAACATCTTTGCAATAAAGCAGAAGAGGCTGCTTGTAGATTAAAAAATGATTTAAAAGATCGTCATTCTTATAATGTATTATTGGAAACCGTTTTCTGTCGAGTAATTTTACTCAACAGGAAAAAGCCTAGTGAGTTGCAGCGTCTCTTCCTCGACACTTATGTAAATTCTGAAAAAGAAATTGCTGACAACTATGAAGAATTTTCAGATATGTTGCCGACAGAAACAATACTGATGAAAAGTTTTAAAAGAATAGTTATTAAAGGGAAAAGAGATCGCGGTGTTCCAGTTTTATTCAGCCCAGATGTAGAGGATCACATCAATATTCTTTTAAGTGCAAGAGATAATTTTATTGAAAAAACTAACCGATACTTTTTTGTCAGTGCCAATAATTCTACAAAACCTTTTATGGGATATAAAATTTTATCAGAATATGCTCATTCTTGTGGAGCTAAGAACCCTAAAGCAATTATCTCAACTAGATTGAGAAAACATTTGGCAACGCTCTCACAAATATTTAATATGACAGAAAGTGATTTAGAACAATTAGCGACTTTAATGAGGCATCCTCCAGATACATATAGAAAATCTTATAACGACCTGTATCAAATGGCAAAAATTACAAAAATTTTGTTATCGATGGAGGGAAGATTTGCAACTGAATTTAGAGGAAAATCTCTAGATGAAATAGTAGTTGATATGGACTCAAATCTCCTAGACGATAATGAAAATAATGATGAAGAAATTGATTCGGATATTGATACGCAACCTTCCACAAGCCAACAAGCAGGAACAAAAAAACTATCTGGTCGAAAAAATAAAAAAACAATAAGAGGACGTTGGACAGAAGAACAAAAAAGTATTACGAAGGATTTCTTTAAAGATCATATCAAAAGAAAAAAATCTCCAAAACAAAGAGAATGTGCGGAATTGATATCTCAATATCCCGATATTTTGAGTAACAAAAATTGGCTAAAAATCAAAGTTTTTGTACAAAATATATACACTAAAAAATATAAATAAATATAAATATTTTTTTGATCTGATATGTTGTAACGATTCGATTTTGTCTAGGCAACATGGTATACTGTTATGTATTTATTTAATGTTGCGGCACTAAGTCAAATAAAATGGCGCAGCGCACACAGGTGTATTTAGTGTGCTTCGACAATTTTATAGTAAATGCAAAGAATATACAATGCGATTATTGTGCAAAGTTAAACCATCAAATGTGTGCGAAAGTTAACAGGACAATAAGCGAAAACCAAAACTGAAAATAGCAATTTTAAATGGTTTTGTGATCAATGTCTTCAAAAAGTTAACTCGAAACTAAAAAAGCCTGTAGAAAAGCCTGACGAAAAAACGATACAGTTAAAAAGTACTAAAATTCTAGAAAAGGAAATTGAACTATTTAAAAAACTATCAATCGAAAAAGATCAAAAATATAGGGTGTCATTGAAATAGTGTAAAAAAATTCGGGAGGTGATAGTACTCCTAAAACTATTAAAAAAAGTTCCTATAACTATGGATCGTTAAATACATATTAAGGGATTTAGGGGCGTCAAAAGGGCAAACTTGGAAAGTGTTTTTTTTTAAATTGTAAGCTTAAAAAACACGATAAAACTTCGAAAAAAATCCCTGTTGACATAAAATTTACTGCTGAATCCAATGGTAATATCGAAAAATTACTTATTTAATCAGAAAGGGTAGTTCTTGCAAGGGTAAGGGGTCGATTTATGATTAACTTTTTAGGGGTTGATTTTTTTACAACGTGGGTCTATTTTTTACAAACAACTACCTTTTTCCATAAAAAAGTTACTCTTATTGCAAGTCGCTTAAGGAGGTCCTTTCGCCACACCTCTCGCCTCAAATATTAAAAAAAAAGTTATTAGATTATGACTAAAATTAATTTTTTTCTAATAGTTGAAGTCCTTATTTATCTAATACTGAACTTTTAACTATACCTTACCTTGCAAATTTTTGAAAAATTTTTTTTTTAAATGTGAGTATTTGTACAGTGCCTCACGAGAAAGTAAGTCCTCAACAACAATTCTCGAATTATACTATTATTTATTGATTAGATGGAGTAGAAAAAAAACTAAAAATAAGGTTTTTGAAATATTTAGATTTTGTTTTATACAATAAAATATATATAGTAAACCGTGGAACTTATTGAAAAATTAATATTAAAAAATCACAAAAAATTTTCAAGTAACCTAGTTGAAAATTTTTTGTGATTTTTTTAATAATAATTTCTCAATAAATTCCACGGTAACCAATATATTTTATTGTAAAAAACAAAACCTAAATATTTCAAAAACCTTATTTTTACTCCATCTAATCAATAAATAATAGTAAAATTAATTATAATTCGAAAATTGTTGTTGAAGTCTTACTTTCTCATAAGACACTGTACAAATACACACATTTTTAAAAAAAAAATTCTCAAAAATTTGCACGGTAAGGTATAGTTAAAAGTTCACTATTAGATAAATAAGGACATCTACTATTAGAAAAAAATTAATTTTAGTCATAATCTAATATTTTTTATTTAACATTGGTGGCGAAAGGACCTCCTTAAAGCAACCGTTTTCGAGAAAATTGAAGGCAAAAAATTTGGTAAACTTGTAGTTGAAAAACGAAAAGTAAAATTACTTATTTTTAATTTTAATAAACATAAATTTATGAAAATTGTGATGTGCTAAACTAATCAACCTCCCAAAAAACTCATAAACACTAAAGAAAAAAAATATTTTCAATGTCGAAGAAATTTTATTATGAAAAATTATTTTTTGTCTGTGGGTCAATTTTTTTCTCTCAACTTTACAATCGGAAGGTAAGTGGCAGGGTAGCCATTTCCCCTGTAAATAGTTGGTAACAAGTTTGTTTGACCTCGACAGTAGCGCGCTGAGCGCGTTATGATGAACTATAATTCGGTACAGTCGGTAAAGTAGAAAACTACTAAGTAAAGCGATTTAAAAAATGGCGGGCTTTAAAATTGATGAAATTTGAAGCAATTTCAAGTAACATTTTCCTATTTTACAGCTTTTACTTACAATAATTAAAAAATCAATAAGTATAATAATTTTTATTGTAAGTAAATGCTGAAAAACGGAAAATGTCACTTGTTTTAAATGAAAAATAACATTTGTAACATTTGTAATAAGTTAATTTTATTTAGAATAGGTAACTATGTCATTACATTATATTAAACATCATATTCACGCATGTATAGAAATGATTTTAAAACAATATACAAAGACTAGTTGTTTTGAAATTTTGTTGGTTAGGCAACTCTGGCACTGAACCACTTTACTATCCTTTTACCCTTCTATTTCAATCCATTGTAGTTGCAATATCCATTCCAAAAAAGTCCATACTCGGGAATAACTAAAACAAACAAAAAATAAAGGCGCAGTGTGTATCTTAAAATTAAAAATTAACAGAGATATTACTTTTTTAAATTCTTAGAAATATCCTTATAAAGGTATACAGGTTTTCAATAATTAAAAAAAAACATCTGATTTATGCTCTCGGCAAGTGAACCATGCAAAATTAACATGTTCGTGTAAATATAAAATTAGTTTTTGAACAATGCATTCTATATGTCTATATTTGGGTAGAATTTGATAAATACAATCATGAATAGTACCCAAAAATTGAACAATTGCTTTTAGCGCATAAATCAAACGTCTTTTTGCATTATATTCCTTTAAATATGTGAAACTATGATGAGGTTCTACACTATCTGTTCTTAAATATTCCTGCATTCATTTTGAAAGATTGTGCCCAAGTACTCGCTTATCCTCTGACAATCCTGATCAATATTTGCATCCGGTCTAGTACTATTCCGTCCATGTGGAAGAGCTCTAAAGTATGTCCGATTTTTAAAAATGGAAATCGAACTGACATTAAGAACTACCGACCTATTTCTATTATTTGCAATTTTTGTAAAGTATTAGAAATATTACTGGAACGCAGTATTTATCAACATATAAGGAATGCGTTATCCCCTCAACAACATGGATTTGTAAAAGGTCGATCAACAGTAACGAATCTCTCAGTCATTACTCAGCATATAGCAGAAAATATCGATAAACGTATTCAGACTGATGTTATTTATACAGATATGACTAAAGCATTTGACAGACTTGACCATGGAATTTTAGTAAAAAAACTGTCTGCTTTTGGACTCTCAGATAGTCTTATTGACTTATTAAAATCATATTTGTGTAACCGTTCACAATACGTTCAGCTCAATGGGTTCAAGTCTGTTAAGTACCTTGCCACATCGGGTGTCCTTCAAGGGTCGAATCTTGGCCCACTCTTATTTAATATTTTTATAAATGACATTGGTAGTGTAATTAATGTTAATTATCTACTGTATGCTGATGACCTTAAAATTTATGCTTCCATAAATAGTATTGCTGACTGCGAGCGACTTTCTGAAAATCTAAAACGAGTTAATGAATGGTGCCATAGAAATAATTTAAAATTAAACCCAGCCACGTGCAATGTAATGTCGTACTCCAACTTTTTACCAGTATATTGTTGATGAAACTCCCTTAAACAGACCAAAAAACTTGGCCGATTTAGGAGTCCTATTTGATTCAGCACTTTCTTTTACTGACCATGTCGATAGTATTGCATCCTCATCTAATCGTACATATGGATTCATAATTAGAAACAGTCGTGATTTTAAGAAAGTAGATACCATAAAATGTCTATATTATGCTTTTGTTCGATCCAAGCTTGAATACGCGTCACTTATATGGAGTCCATTGTATCAAGTACACATTGGTCGTTTGGAAGGAATTCAGAGACGATTCCTAAAATACTTAAGTTTTAGACATGATCTAGTTTATCCATCCATTGGCACCCCACACGACGCCTTATTAAATAAACATGGATTTTCAACATAAGGCGAAAATATTTTTCTGTAATTATGCTGCATAAGGTCATAAGTAATCAAATAAACTGCGAATGTCTATTACATATGCTTAATTTAAAAGTTTCACGTCTAGCCTCAAGATATACTGACTCATTTTACTTACCAACACCTCGTACTAATATTTTAATTAACTCACCGTTGTATAATATGTGTAATAATTATAATCAGATAAGTCAGGAATTGGATATATTCCACATTAGTATTCAGGATATCAAAAGGCATTATTTAGGATAACCATCATTGTACTTTATTTCCTGTAATATTTTTCATTTTTGTACGTTTCGTCTAAATATTTTTGTCATATTCTGTAATTGGGTATTACTTGTAGAATAGTGTATTTAATAAATAAATAAAATAAATAAATAAATTGCCCGAACGCACTTCGCAATCAATTCCGTTCATTTTTTTTTACTACAAATCCAGCTACATAAGTGATAGCCTGAATATCAAAGTCAGTATTATGAAATGAATTGACACTGAATTGTTTAATTTTAAGGCTAGCCAATTTATTTTCTTGGCCAGACAGTAGTGGTTGCGGTTTATCACTACAAGTTAAAAATGAATTTAAATTGTCAACAAACTACTATCATCTGCCTCACAATTGGTGCTGTAATTTTTAGGTGTTATTAAACTATTTTTTCAAAGCCAAAGGCAAGGCAAATTTAATGAGCTTAGTAGGCAAAGTGCTGGTAAAGACATTCTCGTCCAAATGAGGTTCGCACAATAGTTTTTTTTTTAGATGTGTAGGGAATATTTAAAATATCAAACCATTTCTCTCTAAGAGTAAAAATTTCTTATTAAGTGTATGTAAATAACATTTATTTTGTTTCTGCGATTTGGAGCAGCACATGATAATGTAAAATTATAAGTTAATGACATCGTTAAGGCCTCAGTATATTTTTACACCCATAAATTACTTCAATCTAACTAAAATTAAATTAAAAATAAGATTAATCAAATTTTACTCACCTACATTTTCCGCGACTGTCATGTTTTAGTGTAACATAACCTAATTTATTAGCAAAGCCAGATTTACACCACCTCATAATATTCAAATTTAGCTTTAACTTTATAAATTTATAACAATTGTCCCTGTAATTGATCATATATTGTATTAAAGTGATATTTAAAAGATTGCATTAGTAAAATTATTGATTTCTTTAAAATTATTCATTTTTTAAATTATTATATGGGTGTAAAAACGGCTTTTATTTAGTGCTCGCAGCGCGTGAAGCGCGATATGATAAACTACAAACAAGGAAACAATTCCCGCCTATTATTCAAACCTTCTGTTTTAGTTTTTCTATGGTAAGTGGCTACCTAAACCCCAGAAGAAATTTGTGGGCACGTCACTGTCAATGAATACTTTTTGTAAATGGAATAATCAAATTAGGACAGAACAATAGCTATGTACATGGCCTTATCACAATTTTTTTATTTTAATTTAGCAAAAAGAAATTGTAAATAATTTTGCCTAAAATTATTCTGGTTTTTAAGTATTTCTGTCAGTTTCTTGTTGTTGAAGTGTACGTGAGCGTAATATACCAGAAATTATGGTATACACTGTACTTAAACTGACAGATATGCATTTTATTTATGGAAGAGCGAACGGAAACGGTC